CATGCTTTTTATAGCTTATATTGATCGCTGAATATCACTTAAAGACACATCATCCTTTAATACCTTCTAGTTGATTTTCGCTAGAATGGGGCGAGCGCTGTGAAATAGCCATTTTCGAAACAAAAAATTGTTTTTAATTTTGATTATTCATGGTCGCTGCTATATATCAAGAGTCGAGATGTATGTGACGTCCAAGAGTGTGATGGCGTAATACGAGCCTTATATCGATTAAAATTTTCCATTTTTTCACAATAAATTATTGCCTGGAAGGAATTCGATAGCACCGCCACAGGCAGTTTAATTGCTGTGTGTTTTATTTAAAAAATGCTAGGTGGTGGTTGTATTAAATGATAAATTTGTTTAATACGGTCCTACAGTATTTGAATATCTGAAAAAGTATTAACCTATAATGAATATAAGAATTGTACCAAGAAGTCGGTGTTGTATACTAAATTGCATTTTGTGAAGTGCACTGTAAGCGAAACTATAACTAAATTGAATGAGGTTTTCATACTTCTGCAGCTTAGTAAAAATGAAAGAAAAATATGGTAGCATTGCATCAGTAGAAACGTGAGAAACTATAAACGAATGTTATCACAATTTCAGAGTAAAATGTAGATCTCTTTATAAAGTTTGTATAAACTTCTGTGTTTTCTTTACAAACTTGGCAAACTTCAGAATTAAAATTTGATGGAATTTACTGAAGGCATTTATTTTGTGGTAATTAGGTACCGAATTAGATCTATGTGCAGATTAAAAACGACATGGAAGAAAAATTAATCAAAAAATTACCTCGCCCAAGGACCTAAAATAACATGTGTTTTTAACTTAGAATTAAATTAATTATTATCCTGTGAGAGTATTGGATTTGACGAGGAGAAAACAAAAGTTCTCATAATTTGTATTTGTTTGGGTAATTCTATTATTTTGATAAGTATTTCTGCTGCTATTAAATGAAATTAATATAAATATCAACAGTGGAATCATGAATAAACTGTAAACTCCAAATCCAAATTGCAACCAATTTTAATCTATTGAAATGCATAAATGCCCTGCAGCTGTTATTGATTTCTATGTTTTATATTATTCATTTATAAAACGAATCTTTAATTATTATTATTATTAGTAAATCTTTTTGAGTGAATCCATTGTAAAACTTTACAATTAAGCTAAAAAAAAATCTTAAATACCATAACCACAGGCATCCAAATTGCTATACTTGGGGCTGAACTGTACTGATTGTATTAGAATCTGTGAGTAACACTGACACTACGTCAAATACATTATTATTCCTATAACACCGAAAAATATCTACACACTATCGACCCGTTTCAACAGCTTTACAGACATCTTCTTGCACAAGACTGAACCGAATTTCTCAGCGTTGGGGAGACAATAACGTATTCGAGGTCCCGATTAAATGCAAATAACCGAAGCATACATAGCGTTATGCATATAAAATTTGAAGAATAGATTTCAGATAGCTACTTAAAAACTCTGCTATTCATAGAAAGTTACAATTTACGCAACCACGACACCTATCATGAGTATCGATTTATGTGCTACCTATATTTACGATCTGTGCCCAGTAAGAATTAGTGTTTTTTGAATTGCCCACTCTAATTAAAAATAAAAATACTTTATCTTAAACTTTGAAAACTAAAATTTACAAAATAAATATTTTTTCTGAAATTATGTCTGGGGTCACTAAAATAATAAAAAAATTACACAATCTGGAACCATACCCTCTAAGGGACGTTTTTTTATAACGTAGTCTACAAGTTTACGTCGTTATAGACAATCACATATGATAGGATCGCATATTCTGGCATGAAACATAATTTTCATCTGAATTGCGATTAAATGAATTAAATTAATTTTGGCTCCTCAAAAAATTTCTACGGAAGATAATTGGTCACAAGTAATTGATCATGCGACAATTGATTGCAAACGAATCGTCGCAAGACTGTTGGTGGCATGCGAAAACTAATTCCAACAACGTCAACTGATCGTACGTAAATTTATCGCAATGATAATTGATTGCGAAGTAAAATTCGTTTTTTTTTTTCATAAAATTATTTTTTCTTTTTGGATTTTGATTCTTAACTTATAGTATATTTAAATTAAAGAAAGACATAGACATCGATTTAAAACAATTTGCTAGTAGTTAGTTAAATAACGAACTTTGTAGTTGTGCTTTAAAAATGAAAAAAATACGATCTTAGGCCACCTAAATAATTTTTAATCAAAATTTTTTATTAACAAAAGGTTATTTGAAATCAAATCTATATATTCTAGTTAGAACGGTGACTCCAACATGATCATTAATTTTTGTAGTTCTGTATAATAGCTGTGAAATGTTTTGGTTAATCTTTATACATTTTTTTTTTAATGAACTGTGAAATTGCCTACCAAAATTTGTTCTAATTTCAATTTGTTTGAAGAATGAATTTTTTAACATTTAATATACTTTCATACAAATTTACAAGTGAAGACTATATGACGTTGTATCTACCACTCCTAACAAATTTTTAATTAATGAAAAATTTATTACAGTTGGTATCAAAAAAAATCATATTGATTTTTACTTTTCGAGCCTATAATAAGGAAGTATAATATTGTAATTGGATCCATACGATGAACGGCTACTTTTATGTTTCAACGTTGTTGTAGGTAAAATCGTATATCAAAATTTATCTGTTTATCCATTCCCAAAAAATTGAGAACGACATTCCAAAAATTTGCTGAATACATCCAATGCAAAATATGGAATACTTGTCGTACACAGTGCATTCATATTTTTTAGAATTATTTATATGTATAGGGTGATTCAAAAAATTAATGGATGGGGCAACAAAAATGTACGCATAGCATGCCTCTTCACCTGTGCTTTAGCAGTTCATACATAATTTTATTTTAACTTATAGAGGTTAATAAAAAATAAATAAATTAATTAATTTGCAAAATTAAATTAAATAATTCTTCGAAGAGTCTGTATTAGTTCGCCTGTACTTTGGAGTAATTTTTATGAAAAACAAATTCTTACTTCTTAAATAAATGAATTTGTTGTTATAAAATTTGAATTTTATACCAACCATATTACTTTTGATAAAAAAATTCAATGAGACGTTGTAATGAGCATTGCTAAAACGTCATTGGGGCACATTCTGAATATTTGCTTGTACTGCACTCAAAAGAGCTTAGAATTTAAATATTATGCATGGTTATTGCCCTATGTTTTATTAAATTTTTATTGCTCTATATTTTTCATGTTTGTTGATATTTCTGACTATAATTTTTGCTTTCACATTCGGTAATACAATTATACAGGTGTCCCAGTTAAAACTCCACAGCCTAATACCTTTATAACGGACAAAGATATTGAAAATTATTTAAACGCCATTGTTTTTAGCTTGAATTAAAAAACTTAATTTAGTACATTTCGAATATGACGCATATTTGGCTTCGCTATCGTATATGTTTTTTTATTTATACGATTTGTATAATGTAGTACACTTTTGTGTTTATTTCATTTTCAGTCGATACAAAAAATAAATATCCGTCAAAAAATATATACGATGGACTTTAAAAAAATATCATTATTGCAACTACTAAATTAAGTTTCCCCTTTCGAGATAAAAACAATGGGGTTTACAGCATTTCACAATCTCTATCTTAAGATATAAGGCCGAGGATTTTTATCTAAGACACCGTATAAATTGTAGTCCTTTGATGACAATTTTAACATGTTTTTAGAAATAATGAAATTTTTCAGAAAATATTATTTCATTTTATTTTTATTATTACTACGATCAGTTGTCTTTTTCGACCAGTTGTCGAGCAACTAATTGTTTATCATAAATGGAGGCTGTACCGTTCAATGGGCAGGTACAAAGAAAAAACCTGGAATTTTATACTCCGTGCTCCCTGGAAACGCCAAAAAAGTATGGAGTTAAATTTTGGTAAAAGTGATTATCCTACAATACTTCCCGTATCCATCACTAAGGAAGTAAAAACACAGACCTGTTAACATTTCTCTCAATAATAATAAATAAAAAATTAATACTCAGCGAACCGAGGTCCAGTTACAGAATAACAAAATAAATAACAAAATATGAAAGCACTAAATACATACACTTATTAAAAATCAACAAAAGATACTTATTAAGAAATGTGAAAATAATCTTTACACAATATTTTAAAAGCGCCAAGGTGATAACGAAAAATATTTAAGTTTTTGTTAGATTTACACGTTTTGTTGTGACAAACACACCAAGTTGCATATACTGGTAAATTTAATACAGATTCGTACTCATTTTCAACACATTCAGTATTTTTAAACCCAGTTGTGTCCCTCTTTATAAAATCTAACGTAACATAAACATGTTTGCAGGTCTTGAATTTGTCCCTATTTTTTTGGTATTGCATGGCCTAGAGTATATTCAAAAATAATTACATCAGTTATATGAGAAAATGTCATTAGGTTACAATGATTGATGTTAATCTTAATTTCATTAATGGTACACCATAAATACTTCTTTGCTAACTTGTTATGCTGTGAAGAAATCTATCTCTGTTTTTGTACTTATAAAAACTTGTTATACCAAACGTTGTTATGTTCATACATTTTTTTCAGTAATTACTTTTTTGAATTTATTTTTTTAATGGTCTACATCAATCTTATAATTTGTGCCTAGATCCAATCTTTACACACCCCACTGATTTTGCATAAGTCAACCTCATTCATCTTCTACTAAAATAGCACGAAAACCCTCTATCCACCCCCAATATCCTTAACAAAACCGTAGATTACCCCAGTAATAAACATACGTATTCCCAGTGATCAAACTTTTATTAGATCTAACCATTTATCACAACTGTCAGCGCCCGAAACTTTTCCCAAAGCACTTTGTATGTTTTACATGTCATCCTCCCACACTTCCCCATCCCTCGCCAAACAAACCACCCCCAATAAAATTACCGATACACTTTTTCTCCAGGCAAATTTCCCCGCCAGGAGGAGCCAACCCCAATCCTGGAGAAATTCCACGTCTTGGCCTTGACTCGCATCGAAGAGAACATCAACGAGAACGAATACCACGCCATGGGTCGCCGTCCTAGCATCAAAGTGGACAACTGGGACTTCATCTACACCGAGACCAAGCCCATCAACCGCTGCCCGATCCACCGCTGTCCGATCGACCAAAACTCCAACGGGGGCGGCGTGAAAGATCCGCCGGAACTTCCTCTGGATGCGAGAAAGACGACGACTCTACGAAGACATTACTACCTGGAGGGAGGCTGGGGATGGGTGGTGGTGGTGTGTTCAGTGCTGGTGCATGTGTTGAATCACGGGGTGCAACTGTCGTGTTCGCAACTCATTCTACCGGGAGCGGAGAAATTCAAGGTGGAAACCGTGCATTTTGCGGGTGAGTTTTTTGTAATTTTGTGGGATGTGAAGGCAAGGGTTTGTTTTATGGCTTGAAGCATGTTTACGTGGCTGAGATTATAATGTTTGCACCTGTAATTTTCTCTTTATGTGTGTATAAGACCGTCTGAGCGTTTAACTATTAAAAAAAATGACCTAGGGCCTCATCAAAATGGAGGATGTTCACTAGGTTGTACAATACAATTCTGGTGTATGTTCTCAGATGCAAGTGATTAACTAGTTAAGGTAGGAGAGCGCAAATAAAAACACGAAGTTACCAGGAAGCCTTATTTATTTAAATACTTAAATGCCAATATTGGATTCGATGAATTAACAATACTATCAAAAATTATAATTATTGGAATGTATGAGTTCATTATTATTTTTCAAATTTCGCTTTAGATCTGCAAACAATTATTTCCTTAACTTATTAATTATTATTAATGAGTAATGACAGTAGTTTTGATAAATTTAACAATATTTTATTAAAAACGTTGAGGTTTATTCTTAATTTGTAAGTATTATTATGTAGATATTAAGTATTATGTGTTTACTCGTGTTATTGGTTTCATAGAGTGTACGTTTATAATTCTTCTTACGAATTTGCAGTAAGCAGGAATTTACTGCACATTTTACAGCGTAGCAGGTAGTATTTTGTACCCTAGTGTGACAACATATTAGATATATATGTATACTATAATTGAAATATAAGTGTTATGGTATATTATTGATACTAATGTTGCACTTAGAAATATTGCCGATGTTTAAATCATTAAATTACCACATAATAAAAAAAAAACTTGTCAAGTGTACCTACTTTGAAATTTATAAACAAAATTTTTAGGAGTATCAATATTTTTAACTGATGTTATTTAAATCTGTCAATTTAAATTATGTTTGTTACAGAACGAGTTATCATTGACATTGATTTACATAAGCTCAAATATAAATATGACACTTTTCATACGACAATGATAGAAATCACCAATGTTGGTAATACATTAAAAAAAAAATCCAGAGTACACTTGACAAGTTTTTTTTTCGATCGCATCGCAGACATAATTGTAATCGAAACAACTCGGCTTTTGGTAGAAGGTTCTTATATGTTTTGGGCGCAATAATATTTCCTCTATTATTTTTAAATGCCCAATTTATCAATTTACTCATCACTCATCACAAGGTCTAAATTATTAACAATACTAACATTTCGGAAGGTTCTGTGGATGATGTATGTTATTTAATGAGAAACAAATTCAGTTAAAACTGTTTCTTCACTGTGCTACCTCAAGCCATTATAATCAAGTCTGTGGACAAACAGGAAAAATAAATTTTACTATTTATATTAACTGTATCAAATGAATGTTTAATTTTATAATTATTATATGACGTACAGTATAGCGTAAAGAAAGAAGCCTTAATTTGAGCGTTCGACTGCGACTATCGTCGACTGCACTGTCAACTATCGGAAATCGGTTTTGCTGGAATTTTATTAGAAATTTTTTCGTCGTCAGAGGTGCGAAACAGTCTCGCCGTTGCAGACAGGATAAAAAGAACAACATGGTATGAGCAATTTGTATGTAAAGGAACTTGACGGAATGGGGGAGATAGCAGATATACAAGAATATATTACCAAGATATGTACAAATGGAATTACTAGGGGTTTATTAGGGTAATCGGCTCATATAATGGCCAGTAAATGAAAATTAAAAAGACTTCGTTGCCGAATCGACGGTTTTAATGGCAGACCATTATTTACCATAATTATGCTCAGCGTTATCCGTAGTAGAAATGTGGACGCATTGGTCTTTAATCTGATTTAATACCTGCGCTCAGTGGTACGTAATTATAACTTAACAATCTAGATACATGCGTAAAATTCAGGCTAGAGAAAATGAATTTTTTGCAAAGCAGCTACAATTTCATTGAAAATTTACACTTCTAAGACGACGAAATAATTAGATTTACCAATTCAGATAACACTGTAATTAATTCGGACTCTTTAGGTAAACGTTAGTTCTAATTGCTACACAAAAAATGTAGTCAAAAACTTACTTTATGCCAAATCTAATAACATAAAAGTAAGTGCAGCTACCATCTAACGTGCTTCATTAACAAGTAATTAAAAAAATACAGCAAAACTAATTCTACGTGCCATTGATAGTCAAATTCGGTTATGATTTGCCGGTTTAATGCAACATGAAAAAAGCTCAATCTTGTAATCGTTCACTGACTGCATCTAATACTCAATTTTAATGGACAAAACAATAATGAACAATGGACTTGTTTTAGCTACTAACCGAACGTCCACCGACTAGGAATCCAGAAGTTGAATTATAATAATTACATATATTATATAATTTTTAAAAGAAGTGAACTTATTTTTAGGACTCTGATAGATCTTGCGAAGTACTCATTCTCCATCTATGTGCTACAGGTTAGATGATTTATTTATTGTAATAGCTATTACTTTTATATTGCAATTTTGGTACTCCTATTTATTCAGACTCTCTGAACCAGATAATACTAGATGTAAATTCTGCGTCATACTCCACATATATGTGTTAATAAAGTTACAACATAATGAGAGGGATAATATATCAAAATATGCTTGCATCCGCTTAGCTAGAGATTCCTACCAAAGTTTAATATTCTGAGATAATAAAGGATTGCTGAAGTTCAGTCAATTTTATCAGGTTTCGAAATTAAGCGTAATTAACGAGAAACTTACTAACCAAATATTTAAAGGCAACAGCTTTAGAGATAAACAATAATAGTCTTAATTATAATGGGACTAAAACCCTGTCATGGATCACGCAGTTTAATAGAATTTGGGTTAGTACATGAATAATAACTGCCCTATACTTTTGTATAATATTACAATAAACTCTATTTGGCCAATGGTTAATTTCAAGTTTTCTCATTTTTTTTTTATAGTTACTAGAATACGAAAAATAAGTTCTCCGTTTCGGTCTAACTTCGAAACTGATTGACAGAATATTGTGAAATTTTAGGTTTTAGCTTTAAACGCTAACCAAAATTTGTGTATTGCTCTCCCTCAAAATTTTGTTAAGTAGATCTAGTTTGATACTTACATTATAACATATTCCTTGATTTACGGTTTAATAGCATAATCCATATTGATTTTATATTGATTTTGACACAATTTATGTAAGCATGACTGTACAGTTGTCATAAAAAATGAAATTTATAAACCAAAATTTTATTATAATAATATGGTACTTAAAAAAAAACAACTAAAACTTTGTTATGTTAAATTGTACACTTTATTTCAAAAATTACAGATTTTTCTCAAAATATTTCTGGGAATTAGAAAGCATTAGTAAAATGTATTGTTACGTTGATCGGTAATTTAAAATCGGCATGGGTAAAACTCAACAATTTACTTCATAGTAATACAAAACTATACAATTAATTACGAGTATACAACGATTATGTACATGAATAATTCCGACTCGACTGGAATGGATTTGACTAGACTCTACTTCTTTCATTAACTGCACTCGACTGGCCGTTCCCGGCGGTAGTCCTTATTTAAACAGCCACATTTCTAGATATTTCGTGATCGAGGTTGTTCTGGAGTGCCCATCGCGACCACCACTTCCAGGCTTTTCATTAGTCGAGTGCCGCCGTCGGTGATGATGTCACCACCGCTCATCACCATATACCCGGTGCCCCAGCGTATCATTCTGTTCCACTCAAATATCTCAATTATTTTAAAACATAAAAATTTAAACTTAGACATGTTCAATATAGGAAATAAAAACTGTAGTACTACAAAAGAGAGCATTTTTTCTCTTGTCAATGATATATGATTTCATGTAGAAGTTTTAAAACGCTTGTGAATTAAAAAAAAATACGATGGCGTTCCTCAATCAACGTTTTCTGTTATTTTCGTGTTTCGACTTGTCACTTCTAGATTAAAATAAATAAAATATTGTAGTGTTAAGAAATGCAAAACGAAAGATTCAGCAATGCTGAAAAGTTAGATATGATACTTATTTACGGAGACTTTCACGAAAAACGGTAACAGATCAAGAACATATCGTAGGTGCCTTGAGGAGGGTTCATATGGATTCTCACATTTCTATCAGGCAAATACGCAAAGAAACGATGATTTGAAAATCCTCTATGTATACAAAGAATTTTAAAAACGGCCAAATATCATGATTACAATTCTTTAAATGAAGCTTTAGTACTACCTGATTTTGAAAAAGGATTGGCTTTTTTGCTTGGTTAACGGAGGCACGTGAACATAAGATTCATAAGTAATATTTTATGGTGAAATGAAACTCATTTTAATAATAATGGAATTGTGAATCGACATAATTGCTGGGCTTCAGAAAATCCTCACTAGCTAAGAGAAGTTAATTTTCAACACATTATCAACGTTTGGTGTGGAATAACCAATAGTCAAATTATCGGGCGTAAATTTTACGAAGGAAATCTAAATTACCAAATTTATTTGGAATTTCTTCTAAACGAACTTCCTGTGTTATTAGTAAATGTTACACTCGTCGTGAGAGAAAAAATGTATTTCGAGCAAGATTTTGAATGATATATTTCTTCATAGATGGATTGGAAAAAATGGAACAATTTGGTGGCCTGCCAGATCTCCAGAGCTAACACTTCCCGATTTTTTTTTTGTGGGGCTATTTAAAAGATAGGGTGTATCAACAACCTCTAAGAGACATAGAAGAGCTTAAGCAAAGAATTAGGGTAGAATATGATTGAATTAACCCAGAAATTTTACAAGTAGTAAAAAATAGGAGTCTACTTCATCGAGCAGAATGTTGTTTAGAGGCAGAAGGTCGTCAGTCTGAATATTTAATTTAAAGTTATTGTTTTGTATCGTTTTATTTTGCTATAAACTTTGATTTTATTAAAATACTTAGTTGCATATGATCGTTTTAAGTTTCTTTTTTTTTTTATTTTAAAACATTCAAATAAATAACATCGTATCATGTGATATATCGTTATCCA